TCCTCCTATGGGGGGGGGGGTAGGCAGTGGTGCCTGTGTCCATTCATGGGAAGGGAATTGAACTGCTGGGGTAAAGAGTCCCTATGACTTTTGAGCCAAAGTGTCTTGCTTGGGTTTGGGTAAGATGTTTGCTCAGTGACAGGGTGGAGGGCTCAAGTAGCTGACACAGACCAGGCTGGGCCACTGACTATAGCCATACCAGTTGGGACCCTGGGCAGTGGGCCCAGTGGAGCATTCAGCCCCACCCTCCGGCAGTAGTCTGTGTCTGAGTGCCTGGGGAGGACGACAGCCTATAGAGTGTTCTGCCATTCACCCCTCAGGACAGAAGGATGACAGAAGGCCTGTGCACCTGCTCACCTTGCAACTAGGGAGACCCTTCCCAGGTTGGGGAGGCCATGTGCCCAGAGCATCACAGCTGTTGAGTGGCAGGGCAGGGCTGGGTCTTTTGGCTGCCAGTTCAGGGCCCTTTCTCTCCCTCTGGCTTCCTCTTTCAGTGCGAAGAAAATATTTTACAGATGGTGAGACTGAGGTTCAGAGAGCTTATGTCAGGTGGTTGAAGCCTCACAGGTTTTGCACTGCACGCCTCCTTGGCATGCCATTCACTAGACTCCAGTGTGCTGGTGCCTTCTTGGCACGGTGCAGTAGCAGCCTGCGTAGCTGTGTACCACTGTCATTGTGGAGCCTGGCTTGAATTGGTGTCAGTGAGTCGTTCCAGTGCCTGGCTCTTCACAGCTCTTCTCCGCAGCCTGTTGAATGCCCCAGAGCTATCCACCCTCAGCATAAGGAAGCCAGGCAGCCTCCTGTTTTGTCCATCCCACTGTCTTCTCAGCCAGGAAAGGAGCATGGGGGGAGAGGCTGCTTAGCTACAGAGGTGCAGGTAGGAGACAGGCCCTCTGGTCTGTGGGGTGCGTGATAGTGAGGCCAGGGTGGTGGTGGCTGTGCGGGGCAGATGGTCAGGCCTCAGCACATGCCACCAGCCCAGCTGCATAGGGCCTTCCCTGCTGCCTCATGTGAAGGCCATGTGTGCACAGCTGGGCCTGGCCCATGTGCAGGGCTACTCCGGGACCAGGTGGGAAGGGTTCGAAGGGGAAGCCTGGCCTTGCTGAGTGGTGAGAGGAGGGGCCAAAGCTGTGGGCCGCAGGCTCCTGGCAGAACCTTCTGGCTCTCAGACTGTGCTTACCCTAGGGGCATCTGGTGTGTGTGCAGATTGCCTGTGCCCCCTGAAAGCAGGAAGCTCCTTAGCCTTGATGGAGAAATGGCAACCTTGCAGGCAAAGGCCAGAGGCATAGGTTCTTTAAAATCCCAAATGTCTACATAGCAATGAAGCTAGACCCTGAGAAGTCTTAATAATTAACAGTCATGGCCCCAGGGCCAGGTGGGCCTAGGTACAAATCCTGGTCACCTGCCTAGCCTCTCTGTAAGTGTCCTCTTTTACAATGTGGGGAGGGAGCACTACAGATATGTAAACTTACAGGCCCAATGCCATGAGGCTCCTAAGCTGCCGCCCTGGTGACTGAGGGAGCAGGATAGAGGGGTCTGAGACTGAGAAAGGTGAGGAGCCCTCTGGATCTGCTGAAGTGCCTCTTCATGAAGGAGGTGCCAAGTAGGTGGGGCCTGGCCCCCTCCTCTGCTGACCCTGGAGTCTCCCAGGGGATCCTCACCAAGAGGGCTCAGGGTGACCCAGGATGGGCTGTGGGAATGGGGTCCCCAGCACCACACCTTTCTCAGTCTCAGACCCCTCTATCCTGCTCCCTCAGTCACCAGGGCAGCAGCTTAGGAGCCTCATGGCATTAGGCCTGTAAGTTTACATATCTGTAGTGCTCCCTCCCCACGTTGTAAAAGAGGACACTTACAGAGAGGTTAGGCAGGTGACCAGGATTTGTACCTAGGCCTACCTGGCCCTGGGGCCATGACTGTTAATTACTAAGACTTCTCAGGGTCTAGCTTCATTGCTGTGTAGACATTTGGGATTTTAAAGAACCTATTTCAATTGAACCTGTCAAGGACCTTGAGCAGCTCTGCATAGAGTGGCTTTGTCTCAGGAAGTCTGCACTCACTGACATAGTAATTTTGAATGAAATCAAGTGCTAAGCTGTGTTCTGTGCACAGTGTTGGAGCTCTGTAGGTCCAGGAGTCTCAGTGGGCTTCCAGGAGGGTGTTGGCTGGGTGTGAAGGGTGGGTGGGAGCTGGGACAGAGGCCAGAGGGCTTCCAGGCCTCTTCTGAATTGACTGGTAGGTTCTTGGCTTGGTTTCTCTGTGGCACCTTTCTGCATTTGCCCACAGCTATCCCATTCTGAGGTCGCAGGTATTCTGATGCCCATTTTATTGGTGAGGAAACTGAGGTCCTGTAACATTATGGACCTGCCTAAGGTCATGTGGATGGCCGGGGGCAGAGGCAGGTCCTCAGGCTCTCAGGCCAGTGCCCTTTTCGATTTTTCCTCCTTCCTGGAGCCTGGGGAGGGTCCAGCTTGGGGCAGGTGGGATGGAATGTCCTGGGGGCATATGAGACCTCATGAAAATCCCCCATTTGCTCCTCTGAAGCTGAAACATCTTTGTGGGGTGAGCACAAGGCAGGGCCTTCTGCTTCCTGGAAGTTGGGCAGTCTCTCGGGAGTTGGAGCCAAGTTTGTCCTGCTGCCTCCTTTGACCTGTGCCCTATGACCAGAATGAGCAGACAAGTGCTATGGGGCTCTCTGCAGGTGGTGGGGTAGCTGGGCGCCGGACCTCACTGTGGATGCTCAGAGAGGTAATGCGCAAAGGCCGGGGTCCCATGGGATCAGTCCGTAATTTTCCATCTGCCCCTTAGAAAGGTGGCCTGCTCACCTCCCCACCTTAGGCTGTAGACACCTATCCAAACCCCCAAGCAGTTGCTTCTGGCTCATTGGAAAAAGCCCAGCTAAGGTGGGAGTTCAAAAACCCCAGAAATCTCCCACCAGCTGAGAGTCCTGCACTATCAGATGCTGTTGAACAGTAGAAGGGATACCTTCTACCTCTTGAGGCTATTTTAAGATGAATGTAGGCATTGTATTTAAAATACTCAGCCTTCTGCCTGCCTTAGTAGAACACAGTAAACAGCAAGGGGTGGCCTGGTCCAAGGGGTCATGGAGGGTAGGCAGGGGTTGTTAGCTCTACTTTCCAGATGAGGAAACTGAGGCTCAGAAGTGAAAGGCACTTGCCCAAAGTCACACTGCTGGTAAGTGCCCGGAAGTCAGACCAGCTCTTTCCTCCCTACCTTGGCCTCCCAGAACTAGAACCTGCCATTGGACTCTCACTTTGCAGTTGCTCCCCAGGCTGCGGTGCCTCTGAGCTGGGCTGTTGGGGTCCAGGTGCTGAGTCCTGTAGCATGGGCACAAAGAAGATCTGGAATTAGCCAGGTTAGCTGAGGAGCACCCTTCCCCCTACCCCAGGAGAAGGAGTAGTGATGAGAGCAAAAGTTGCCCTTGGTGTCTCATCTATGGCCACCTCTGGTGATGGGAGCCCAGAGAGCCCCGTGGCCTTCCTTGGGTATCAGACAGACAAGCTTGTGGTTCCAACCAGGTCTTAGCTGTGTGACCTAGGGCCCAATGTGCCACCTTTCTGTTTCCTTATGTGCAGATGGGATGATAATCTTTTTTTGGGGGGAAGGTTTTAAATGGGATAGAACTACTTGTAAATAGTTACCTCAGTGCCAGATATGCAACCAGAGCTCAATAGTTTTCTTTTTAGACCTGGACTTTGACAAGCAGTGGGACAGAGTGACAAATCTGGGACAGAACCTGCCCAGAACCTGGCACAGGAGTCCCTAGGTTGGCCTTGACCTCATCTGTTGCTCTGTAACCTCACAGTCACCCTGGATCCACATTGCAGAACTCTCCTGAGATCTTCGCTCCCAGCTGGCAGGGCAGCCAGCTGTTCAAGGGCCAAGGGCTCCCAGAGCTGAATTACACACAGCGTGGCCTCTGGGTGAAAACAGCGCTAGGAGCCTGTGTCACAAAGCTGCGCTCCATGTCCAGGGCCTCCACTGGGGTGCCCTGTCTCAGGACCCTCAGGAACCTTTCTGTCCCACAGACCTGTTTATTTGTTCATGCTGATAAAGCAGGATTCTCTGGCCTCTGTTTGGGAACAGGCAAAATGCATTGTTCTGCCGGCTTTTCTTGGATGGGTTTGGAGCTGTGGCCAGGCTGGGAGTGGGAGGTAGGAAGGGGAAATGCATGGGAGTTGGCGTTCTCTCTGTCACCTCCCTGCCCCTCCCTGGGTTTCCTAGCCCGGTGAGGGGCGATTCCTTGGCTGCTGGAGCATTTTAAAAGGTAAATTGCTTCTGGTGCGGGTGTGTCTCAGGACTCCCTGGGGTAGGGGATAAGCAGGCACTGTGTCCAGGCTCCAGATTTCCTGCCTCTCACCTTCTCTGGAGCCTTACTCTGGGCGGTGCAAATGTCATCTCATTGAATCCCTACCACGCTGTGAGGTCAGTCCTGTTAGCAGCGTGACGAGGATACCAAAGCTCAGAAAGATTATGTTGGGGTAGGGCAGTCAGAGAAAGCTCCTGGACAAAGTGAGGTTTAAAATGAGATCAAAGTGGATGTTACATTTAGGGTCCCCATCTGAGGTGACCATCTTGTTCATGCTTTACCCCCTGGGCCTACAATAGGGTTTCTTAGCCTCAGCACTGTTGACTTTTTGGGCCAGGTATTTCTTTGCTGTGGTGGCATTGTAGGATCCTGCACATAGTAGGATGTTTATTAGCATCGGTAGCACCTACCCCCCTGCTCCCCAGTAGTGACAATCAAGAATGTCTTCAGATATTGCTAACTGTCCCCTGAGGGATAAAATTGTTCCTGGTAGAGAATCACTGACCTAGAACAGTACCTGGAATATGGGGAGGGGGGGAGTGTGCTCACTAAATACTTGTTGAATGGACACACCAGGGGGGTCCCCCTCTGTGGGATGAGGGTCAGTCAGTACCAGATATCGGAGCAGATAGATCCTGGGCAGCCAGAGAGAGGAGGAACCCTGGAGGCTTGGAGGCTGGGCGAGCACATTTGGGCCATTTAGGTGAAGGATGCCTCACGGCAGCAGTGGCTCTGATGATGAGCCCTGTGAGGTGGACTTTGTGGTGACCTTTCTACATTACAACACATACCTGTGCGGCACACTGCCTAGGTTTTTGCTCATGCAGCACAAACACTGGTGGGCAATGTTAAAAAACTAGAGGCTCCGTCTCTTCACCTGGTCCAAATCCCTGTGCAGTGTCTAGTTGGTGATGAGCCACCAACAAACATGTCAAGTCTGGTTGGGGCTGTAAGTATTTATTATGCACGTGTTGTATGCCCAGCAGCATCTCAGGTTCAGAGAGCATAAGGAAAAAGAGAAAAAAAGAAAACTAACCATTTGTGTGCCTTCCCCGCTGAGCACTGCCACGTTCCCTTCTAGTATGTTCCCTGAGTCCCTAACTCTGTTTTGAAGGTAGGAATCACATTATTTGTCATCAGAACCCCAAGTGCCTAGAAAAACCAGCCTCACTGAATGGCTGAATGGATGGAGGGAATATTAAAAATGCCTGTTCTCTCAGACGGGCTCCTTCTCAAGGAGGGTGTGGGACAGAGCTCTGCTATGGTGGGAACACACTGTGCTGCATTTAGACCAACTCACGGGCAGAGCTAAGCCTCAGTTTCTTCCCCTACAAAATGGAAATTTGTATACTTTCCCGAGTTTGTGAGTGGATGAGCTCAGGTGTGTGTGCATGTGCTTAGAGCAGAGAATAAAATCTGTGTCGAGGGCTCAGGCCACCTCCAGTGCCCAGCAGTCCCTCTCAGGTGGTGCAGATGTTACTGTGAGCAGCCCCATGCCTGCCTGGCCAGGCTGCCCTGTGGGGTCCTGCTCTGCACGGAGACCGTGGAAGCTCCTCCTGACCCTCTCTCACCCACCAGGTGCCGTGTTACTCATATGGGCAGAAGCTATCCAAACTGGCCATCCTGAGGATCGCCTGTAACTACATCCTGTCCCTGGCGCGGCTGGCTGACCTCGACTACAGCGCCGACCGCAGCAACCTCAGCTTCTCCGAGTGTGTGCAGCGCTGCACCCGCACCCTGCAGGCCGAGGGACGTGCTAAGAAGCGCAAGGTATGTGCCAGCCACTTGGGCAGCAGCCCCTGGGAGAGGACAGGGGAGGTGGGGACAGCAACATGGGGTGCCCCACACTCACCCAGACTTCCAAATGGCCAAGAGATCAACCTTTGGAGCTTTGCTGGGGTCGCCCCAGCTTCAGAGCTCCTCACAGCCCTGGGATTATGGCAGTGGGGCTGCTGGGGACCTTAGACAGTCACCCAGTGCCCGTGGGCCTGGATTTGCTTATCACTGAAGTGAGGGCAATTTGTCTCTGAAGCTCTTTTTAGCCTCGGTGCTCTGGTGCTGAATTCCCCATGTGGGCCCTGATAGATATTGTATCAGGATGGGATTGCCTGAGCCGATGACAGACCAGAGAAGGCCTGGGCATGTTTTGGGAATATGACTGGGTTGTCTGAGGGTGTGCATTAAGGTGGATGATATACATTCATTCACTCACTCATTCATTCATTCTGGAGGGATTTGCTGAGCCCCAACCTAAGTATGCTGAGCAGGACTATAAAGATGGTAAACATGGTCCCAGCCTCCACACACCTCACAGGATAGAGAGACTCTCCTACCAGCAGATAAGGGCAGGATGGTGTGTGAAGGTATCCCAGAGGCCTGTGCTAGGGGCTGTGGAAGGCTAGGCGGAGAAAGGACAGGTTACCTCTCCTGCACAAGGGAGTTTGAAAAGGCATCTTAGTGTAAGCAGTGTTTGAGCTGGGACCAGCAGGACAACCAAGGAGTCACCAGGCAGATGAGGCAGAGGGAACAGCCTGTACAAAGCCTGATATGTTTGGAGACATATGTGTAGGAGGAAAGGTGTTGGGCATAACTGTGGTTCCCAGATGACCTATCCTTCCAGCATTTCCAGCTGGGGGCCAGGGCCAGGCAGTGCTAAACAAGGCTTATGGCAGCCCTCTGGATCTCTGTTCCCACGAAGCTAGAGGAAGAGTGAGTGACAGAGGGTGGAACCCAGTCTGCATCCATGAGGAAGGTGGTTGACTGCCCTGGGCATTCAAAGATAGAGAGGGTGGGGAGCCCGGTAACTGGCACCTTCCAGCGGTTCCTTCCTTCCTGGCCTGCCCCTCCCCTATCCCTGACCATCACTCCCCTTCCCCCCTCTCCCCGCAGGCCCTCTTGGGGTTCTTGGGGTTTCCCAGGGAGCCCTGGGCCCTTAGCCAGGGAGGCCCTACATGGACTCTCCTGCCTACACCAGAGAGGGTCACAGCACGTCCTTGCAACCAGCCGCCTCGGCTGCTGTGATAATAGCACATTGCATTCCTGGGAGTGATTAACGTGGACCAATTAGATGAAATCTTCATCAAGTGGGTGAGAGAGGAAGTGCCAGTGGCTGCTCACAGGGCGGCTTTCCACTGGAAAGTGACACGGGTAAATTAAGAGCATGACTGATGGCTCCATGCAGCGCTTTGTGACAAAGGAGGTTTGTAAACTCTCTGTGAACTTCCCCTGGCACTCGGCAGTCTGGAGGTCTGGATGGGCAAAGTGGGCAGGCACCTTTTCTCCATCTCTGCGCCTCATCCCCCCTCTCCCCAATTCCTCCCCTCACTCTCCAAAGACAGGAGCACCTAGGCCACCTCCCTTCCCTGTTACTAGACTGGGGCAGATAGTGTTCTGGGCTGGGGAAGAGGCTGATGCCTGGAAGGTGAGGAAAGAAGGAAGAGCGGGGTGAAGATGCCCAGGGTAGATGAGCTTTTGGTTTCCCCTGAAATCAGCTCAAATCCAAGACACTTTAGAGACCATCTGGTCCAACCTCCCCAATGTCCAGATTGGGAGACTGAGGTGGAAGATCGTGGTTAAGAGCATCAAACAGCTTTGACTTCAAAGTCCTGGCTTGCCAGCTGCTAGTTGTGTCATCTTAGACTCATTTCTTAACCTCTCTGAGCTTCAGTTTTCTTGTCAATAAATAGGGACAGTGATGCTAAATCATCAGTGATTTCTAAGGTCCTTTCCAGTCTGACTCTCCAAGAGGAGGTCTTGCCTCACCTTGGAAGGGCACTGAGCAGCTTGCATTCTGCATCGCCCTCCCACCAGGCAGGCTGTCTTGGCACTGCCATCTCCCAAGTGCTGGGCCTGGGCAGTCACCACTGCCAAGAGGACTTACATGGAAGCACAGGACAGGGTCCTGGAGCTGTGGGATCTCCTAGGGCTTCTCTGGGCCCAGTGTTCTGTCCCAGAAGGTTGGGGGCTCACGGGAGTACCCCATTCCATCTTCTGTGCCTTCCTACCTCTCTGTCACCATGCAGATGTGTGAACTCCAAGGTGTCCTTAGGGATGGTCTCCAGTGACCTGCCCAGTGGACCTGAGTGGCTGAGATAGGCCTCTATTTTGTTAACCACAACCAAGGGGTATGATGTCTCTAGAGATTCATGCATTCACTCATTTATTCAATGTTTATTGAGCACCTACAGCAAGTTACACACTAGGGAATGCTGTGATGAGCACATGGGCACTGTGATGGGATGTTAGTGGCGGAGTGGGCTTGACTCTCCATAGTCCCTGTAGACTGAGGGTACGGATTTGGGGCTCAGATCAAGTCCCTATTACCCCTCCCCTGTAGCCACCGAGGACAACCTGAGGGTTTGGAGATAGGAAGGAGCCAGACTTACATCCTAAAGAGGGAGATAGAAAGCAAAGAAGGGAAGAAACTATAAGACATGCTGATGTAAGTGATCAGTTCAGAGAAAGTCCTCTATAAATGGCAGCTGGGATGGTAAGGATCACTGATGTAATTGGTGAGGACTTGAGCTGTCCCACTTTAGCACAGCTCCCTCACAGTTAATGTGCCCTGAAAGTCTGGGCTATCCTTTCCAGGTTGCTTCCTTGAGAAATTGCACTCAGGTCCCCTGAGATCCTTCGTAGTTCTGATGCATTGTCCTGTCCCTCCAGACCTGTGTTAAGAATGGGATTTAAAGTGAACCCCGCTTGCCCCCAGGGCCCCAGGCGCATCTTTTTACCCATCTCAGACCGTTCCTACTGAGGTGAGGGACCCACATCCCTTGACTGGTGTGTCTTCCATCTTTGGACTCCGCAGGATGTGATTTTGGGGGTTCAGAGCCCTGTTTGGAAGCCCCAATAGTGCAGAGGCCAGTGTCAGAGGCTGCCCCGCAGAGAGACAGGCGGGAGGAGTTGAAGGCTCTGGAGAGCTCAGTTCTGACTCCGGCTGCAGCCGGAGATAATGCACGTTAAGCACCTGGCTCTGGGCCATGTTTCTGCAGCTCCTGTTTTTAAAGCAGCAACTCCTGGGAGCTGAGGAGGAGGAGGTGGAGGAAGAAATGAGGAGGGGGAAGGGGAGAGGAGGAAGAGAGGGAGGAGGAGGGAGGGAGAGGGGAGAGGGGGAGGGAGGAAGAGCTGCAGACCAGTTTCACACCTAGGCTGGGCCGGCCTTGTCAGACCTGGGAAATAGGAAAGGACCAATTTCCCACAATCTAAGGCATCTCCTTCCAGTGATTTTAAGCCATCGGGTATTAACAACAACAACAGCTACAAGCACGGATGGCATGGTTTAAGCCCTGGTGATAAATGGCCAGTAAGTTCCTACATTCAAGTTGCTCTCAGGCCCAGTGTTGGAGATGGGGAGAGATAAGAGGAATTCTGATGCCTTGAGTTAAGGGCTTGGGCTGAGGCCTGGACAGTGATTAGGGACCCCAGGCCATGTGACTTACTGTAGCCTGCTGATACAGTGGGGGACAGACGGTTGGCTCTGCAAGGCCAGAGGTTGCTCCTCATGTCGTGAGCAAGCTGGAGCCAGAGGAGGCCTGATGTTGGTGCAGCTCGTGCTGACCTGTGTCTTCCTTTTCCTGCTGACTTCTGGGCAGGGGAGGCTTTCCTTGGTGATGGCAAATCTGAGAGTCGCCTGACTCCCCTTTGGGAGAGTGTCTTGGATGCGGACTTCTGCAGCAGCTTCAGTCTGGGAACAAGCTGAGGTGGCATGTTGGTTTGGGACTGGGGGTCAGTGGGAGCTGAGGATGTTCCAAAGGGCTGCTTACTGTCCCGGTGGCTGAGCCCAGGCCTCCAACAGGACCCAGCGGCACCTGCCCTTTCTGTGGACTGTTCCTGAGACCCTGAGTGTGAGAGGCCGTCTTGAGAGCTCCTGCTTTGGCTGGATTCAATCCCTCCACCCCCACCCCGTGTGTAGCGCCTTTTGTGCCCCCAGAACGCCCACTGTCCTGGCTCTGTCCCCACCTGCCATATATATAGTCACCCTCATTATGGCCTCCTCAGTCTCCACTTCTGTAAAGTGAGTTGTTGCTGGAAGTGATTTCTAAGGCCCTTTCCAGTTATACTTCTGAGCTGAGGTCACGTCAGTCCCTTTTCTATCTAAAAGACGAAATGTGTTACCCTCACTTGCCCCTCTGCCCATCACAGGCATTTCACACAGATAGCAAAGTCCCTCACAGAAGCTGTCAAGACCCCAATACCATAGAACACTGAGAACACCTGACATTCTCAGAGCCTGGGTTGCATGCCAGGCATGGTGCTTAGTGCTTCTGACACATCACCTCATCGACACCTCCTGCCAACCCTGCAAGGTAGGTGCTGGTGTTGCCCCTCTGCACACATAATGAAAGAGCCAGGGTCACCCAGCCAGAGAGGTGTGTCTGGGCTCCTACCCCTTCCTGTCCTGCCTGCCCCAATGGAAGTGCACTGGGTGAGAGGAGGTTCTGTTTCCAAATCCCCCAGCCAAGTTATTGAGTTAAATACCATTTGCTTTCAAAGCCCACAGAGCCCATCTATGCTGGGAAAAAAGGGGGGTGGGGGTGGGAAATCACCATCAAATTTCCTTCTTGTCATAAAAATGGATGCAGTTTATTTTTTCTGGCATTCCAATTACATAGACGTTTGTCACCAGCTGTTTGTTCTAACACAGAGTGTTCTCTCAGCTGCTGTTTCTCCTCTCAATTTGACACTGTTAGTCCACAAGTCTGGCAGGGACTGGCTGGAGGGATCATTGGCTGGGGAGCCTCACAGGTGAGCTCAGAGCCGGCTTTCCT